TTTGTCTTGTCTCTGACCAGTATATATAATTTGTCTAGTCTCCTACCAGTTCTTCATATTTTAATTTTTTAAATGTATTTAGTATAGGGTCTACAGGGTCTCATTACACAGATTGGACTTGTAGTGTCCCTCCTGTTTTCAACCTCCCAAGCACTAGGATGATAGGTGCTCTCAGTCTCATGCACCCTGGGGGCGGGCCCAGCGCAGCATGTGGTGCCAGGGATAGAGCCACGGTTCTTGCTTGTGCCTAAGAAGGTGCTTTAATCCACTGAGCTATCTGGCTGGCCCAGTTTTTGATATTTTTATATTTCACTTGGGTTACAAAGGCTGATCAGATTATGTGGTGAATATTTGATTTTTTAAAAATTCTATTACAGTAAAAGACACATTGCCATTAAAGTCCCTCAAAATATTCCCCATCACTTGAGACACACATTTCACACTGTTCCTGGCACTTTGTAAAACATTTCTGAGTGACTTCTTTCATGAGTGTCTTTACAAGGTGTGGTCAAAAATAGAGTGAGTGGCACCCAATCCAATAAATTGCCTGATTTATGGAAACATTATGGTGCGGTTTCTTTAATCTACCTTAATCAATGGATGTGGTACATTTATGACTTCTGGACCTCATGCAAGACCAAAATGACCACAAATGTTAATATATTTTAAATTGAATCAGGAAATTAAGATGCCTAGAATGGCACAACTAAAGGGAATAATCACTATATTTTAAATCAAACTTCATATTATATATTATGGAATGTAGCTCTTTGTCTGAATTGTGGCTTGCATTATTTTGTCTTGCTTTACAATTTATTTTTGCTTGGTGTGTGTATGTATGTGTGTGCAATGCATGTGTCTCTTTGTCATAATCTGAAGATTTTGAATAGAAAAATCTTTCCTTGCTATGAGATTATACGACCATCATATATTTACTTACAGTATGATATTACTTTCATTTTTTACATGCTAATATTTTCCTTATGCAGAATTTTCCATGGTACATAAATTGTCATCGAAGATCCACCTTTTTACACATACAGTCTTGCAACATCATTTTCCCCATTGATTTACAGTGCCACTTTTATTATATCTTTTTTCATTATCCTTTATCACTTTCCATGTTTTTAGTTGAGTAAATAATTATCTGATAGGGGCTGGAGAAATGGCTCAGTAGAATAAGCACTTCCCTGGCAAGCAGAAGGGCCTGAGTTCAATCCCTGGTTCCACCAATAAATAAATAAATAAATAAATAAATAAATAAATAAATAAATAATTGTCTGATAATCTTAAATGGAAAACTCTAGATATTAGCAATTCCTAAACTTTAAATAACTTATTATATATTGTTATTATCGTTCCATTTTATTATTGTTTGTTGCTAATGTCCTAATTTATAAGTTAAGCTTTATTATAAGTAAGCATTCATAAAATAGAACAGTATTGTATACATATAGTTTGGCACCAACCATGGGTCATGCAATATATTTTCCTCTGATAAGGGAGAATACATGACTACATGAATTTGTGTCTGAACTTCCCAATGCTCTTCTAATAGTCAGTTTATTCAAATATCAAAACCAAGTTATTTTACTTTTTAAAATTTTTTATTTCTATATATGACTTGGTTACTTTCTCCTCAGTGATCTTTTAAAAGATTTTCTTAGTATTCTTGCTTTTTATTTTTCCTTTTGAACTTTAAAATCACTCTAGTTTAAAAAAAAAACCTTTCTGTTTTTATTAGCAAGTTGTAATTAAAGTTGTTGAAAATTGACTTTTATCTGTTAAAATCAATTATTTAAGGTCATGAAACACCTTTTCATTTATTCAGATCTTTTGTGAACCTCAGAAGTGTTTAAAACTCTCCTTCTTATAAATCTTGTATATTTTTCTTGTTCATTGCTAAATATTTTATTGTTTTACTTTTAGAACAATTTAGGTTATTTGTTCTAACTGATAGTTGGTAGAATAAGAAAGATATTAATGGAGCCCTGGAGTTTTTGTTTTGTGTTTTTTTTTTTGAGACAAGGTCTTGCTTGCAGTTTAGGCTGACCTTGGATTCACTATATAGCCCATAATGGCTTCGAAGTTGTAGCAATTCTCCTGTCTCAGCCTCCCATATACTATGATTACAAACATGTACCACCATACTTGGCTTGGCCCTAGAGTTTGAGGCCAGTCTGGATAATATAGTAAGACTGTTTCAAAAAGAAAGAAAGAAAACATGTTATTGGTTTATTAATATAATTTTATATCATTATCTTCCTGAATTAACCTATTCATTATGGCAGTTCTTTAAAAATTATCTTGACCTTAAGAATGTATACCATTTAATATATTTAAAGGCGTAGTGAAGTGGTTCCATCTTTCCTTTTGTTTATATGGTCTGAAATCATAGTTCTTCACAGGGGACATATTTTCTTTCTGTTAAGCCACAAGGTAATGCACTCTTCCCAAAATATATGGTAGCAGCCGAGAAGAACTGGCTTCTGAAATTCAGCTTGACATATTGAGCAAATATCATCCACATCTGAACACTGTCTTAGCTGGCAGCTACTCCATAACTTGGTTGTGTAGCAGGCCTGCCCCTTAGCTCAGTTCTTTAAGTAGCTGCTTCAACAAAGCAGTCAGGCTCAGGTTGCTGTGGTTCGATCCCCACAACTCAAGCCAGCCAAACCTACCCTGAAGGCATTTCGAGAAAAAAAAACAAAAACAAAAACAAAAACAAAACTTGGTTGTGTAAAAAATATATGGAAAGCCTGTCTGAAATTTCTCAAATGTCTAAAAAAGTCCAAAAGTTTTAGTATAAGGTAGAGTAAAGCCAGCAATATCCCAATTCTCCACCTAGTTATATTACCTAATGACCCCAAACACTAATGTGGTTACAGTGACTATTGGTAAAGGCATTAGAATGTATTTTTAGGGTTTAAAAAAAACTGTTTCCAAATCACTCTAAACTTTTGCAAGGCTTTTGTGTATAGTTCAGTTTATCAAAAGAGTGAATGAAAGGACTCTAAAAGTATGTAATATTCAAAGTAATCATATGCAATTTATTAAACCTTATTTGACATGTAATTACATTGTTAAGTTGTAAATATGTTTTCTTATTACCAAAACAATTTGAAACTACTGGTTTGAAAGGAATTCAGATATTCTCTCCTGACATTGTTTTCAGAATAAAGAGTATTTTCACAATATTTTACAATATATAAAATTCAAAAAGTATTTTCTTTAACATTGACTTTTGTAATTGTCATTCTAAACTGCTCAAACCTGTCATAAAGCTTATATTTTTGAATGAAAATTCTAATTATTATATTTTACTTATAATCACTTTCTAAATGAAAATGAGTTTACTGAGGATATATTTTAATATTGCCTTCTGTATAGTATCATTAGTAATCAGGGAAGAATAGATGATTTAAATTCAAAAAAAATCTTGGTTTTTTTCAGGGCATCCAATTATATCACTTTGCAAATAGTGATATTCTTGCCTCATAGTTTCAAGTTTTTATGTTTTTTTTAATATGCTGTGGGACATCAATCCTAAACCTTTGAACATGCTCATCACATTTTGTATGATGCTGACTCTGCTAATTTTTCTCTCATTTATTACAACCAATACAACATTGAGGCATCCTTGTTTTATTTCTGACTTTACTGATAAGGTATGTAAGTGTTTCATTTAACAAAAGTTGTCCTAGTTGTTTCAGAGTAACATCTGATCTATTTTAATCCTGATAAAAATACATTTGCTCTGAAAATAGTATACTGTTAAACTTTTGAAAGTAGATGTAAAGGCCAGGGATATAGCTCAGCAGCATAAGTGCCTGTCTGAAAGTCGATGTGATAGGAAAATGATGACTCCTCACCCCCCAAGATAGCCATGCCTTTATTTGTAGAGCTTGTAAACATGTTACATTGCATGGAACAAAATTAGATTTGCTTTATTCACTTTTTAATAAGGAAATATTTGATAAAACAGATGAAACTTAAAAATTTCAGTAATGCCTTAATACCTAGAAATGTAAAAATATATTAACACAAATGTAGGTAGCATCTTTTGCATGGAGAAGACAGCAAGGAAGCTAGAAAGGAAATTTTATAGTTTTTTTTTTCTGTTCCTATTTAAACTATGCTTATAGAAAATGTGTTACAAAACAAAAGGTTCAAAACAACAAATTTAAGACCAGCACATATTTGGGTATTGGAATAATGCTATTTATTACCAGCATGGTAAGCAGCTTGACTCATTGAAATTGCCCAGACTTGTTTTGTTTTTGCAGAAATGTTTTGAGAAATACCTCTACATTAACCTCATCTTTGATTTCTTATATGATTCACACTTTAAAAACATAATTTTTCTACATGTTAGCAATTTTCTTCTCACTAAATAAAAAAATTTCTTAATTTTCTTCATGTAGTTTATTTCCATACTTTCAGTCTCAAGAATAAATATTTCTCACTTGAGTGTTTATGTTTCTTCCATTCACAAAAGTCTACAAAAATCAGGTCTCATAATAAAAAATTAGTTATTTAAGGTCTTTTTTGAATGAAAAAGAAACTAAATGTATTGTGTTTTTCAGGGTGATGATGGAATTCCAGGACCACCAGGACCAAAAGGAATCAGAGTAAGCAATATTTACCATACATAAAGAGTTTTGTCAGTGGAAACAAATTAAAAAGCAAATGAAGCCAGTTGTGATATCACACACCTGTAGTCCTGGCACTGAGGAGTCTGAGGTAGAAGGTGTGCAGCTAGTTTGAGGCCAGTTTGAGCTTCACAGTGAATCCAGGCCAGCTTTAACTATAGAGCAAAACTCTGTTTCTAAAAACAAAATAAAACAAAAGAACATGAAAAATGTATCCAACAGTCACTGGATGACTCAAATCAGACTAAAATAAGAACAATTGGAATTGACAAAAAATCTGAAGATAACACAAAGGGTATAAAACACTTCCTTACAGAAATGATAGCAGAAGAATTTCTACATGTGGAAATAGAATATGACACACGAATAAATGAGGACTATAGAACCTCACATAGTCATGATCATAAAGAGGTCAATATCACATTACAACAGAAATACCAAAATTCCAATACAAGTGTAGAATTGTAAAGGTTTCTAGAAAATTACAATGAATGGACTATAAAAGAAAACCCATCAGAATTACAACAGACTTTCCAAAACAAACCTTCAAGGCAAGGAGATCATGGAATGAAGTGTTTTCATTCTCTAATAGAAAACAACTTCAAACCCAGATTGTTATATCCTGAGAAATTATGTTTCAAAATTGATGGAGAAATAAAACACTTTCATGATAAATAGCACCTAATTAAATTCATGATGACCAAACCAATACTCCAAAACATTCTTAAGGATATCCTAGAAAGAGCCAAAAAATGAACAATACCAAACTTCCCAATAGAATGAATGAGATAGCAATTACAAAGAAGGGAATGAAAGCAAAACAGCAAAAGGTAAATAATAAAACAACAGGAATAAATTAATAAGTATCAACTATAGCTGTGAATGTAAATGGACTCAGTCTGCCAAGTAAAAGACAGATCAGCTGAGTGGATCTAGAAACAAAATCCAACAGTGTGCAACATACAAGAAATACATTTAATAAAAAAAGACATTCTGAAATTAAAACTCAATCTACTGCCAATATCATGCCTTCTTTCTAAAGCTAGGAAGAGGGGCCGGGGAGATAGCTCAGTGGAATAAGTGCTTGCCTGGCAAGCCCAAGGTCCTGAGTTCAACCCCTGGTACCTCACAATAAATAAAAACAAATAAATAAATGAATAAATAAAATAAAACTAAAGCTAGGAAGAAGACAATGCTGTCCAGTATCACCTTTCCTGTTAAACATAGTCCTTAAATCATTACAGAGAGCTGTCAAGCAAGAGAAAGACATAAAATAGATACATATAAGAAAGGACAAATTCAAAAGTAATCAATACTTGTAGCAGAAAATTATCCTTTACATAAAGGATAATTTACATAAAGTCTTAAAAAATCCACCAAGACATCTAGAATTAATAAGCATATTCAGCAATGAGGCAGGCTACAAAATAAATGCACAGAAATAAACCATCTTCTTATACACTAGAAATGAACTCACTGGAAAAAAAATTAGGAAAGTACCACTCACAGTAGCATAAAATTTAAATACCTAGGAATTAACCTAACCAAGGAAGTGAAAGACCTTTACAGTGAAAATTATATCAGACTGCAAAAGAAAATTGAGAAAGGCATCAGAAACTGCAAGGTATTCCCTGTTCCTAGATGGGCAGAACTAGTATAATCAAAATGGCTACACTTTCAAAACTCATATATAAATTTAATGTGATTCCAATCAAAATATCAATAGCATTTTTCACAGACCGAGTGAAAATAATCCTAAAATTCTTATAGAATAGGAGACCTACAATAGCAAGAGCATGACTTGGTAACAAAAGCAAAGCAGGTGGCATTGCAATCCCAGATTTGACATGATATGTTCTATAAAGCTACAGTGATTAAAGCAGCATGGTGCTGACACACAAAAAGGCATATAGATCAATGGAATAGAATAGAAGAAGCAGAAAAATATGCAGCTATTTAATCTTTGACAAAGGGGGCAAAAATATGCATTGAATACAAAACAAACTCTAAGAAATGGTGCTGGGGGTCCTGGGGAGATAGCTCAGTGGTATAAGCACCTGCCTGGCAAGCATAAGGTCCAAAGTTTGATCTCTGGAAACACATGTTGTGCCAGTCTGGAACTGGGCATGGAGGCACATGCCTGTAATCCCAGCACTAGGGAGGCTGACACAGGAGGATCAATATGTGTCTGACAGAAGCGAGATCCTGTATGAAAGAAAAAAGAAAAGGGAGGGGGATAGAAATGGTGCTGGGAAAACTAGATATCCACATGCAGAAGACTGAATCTACCTAGATCCGTATATTTCACTGTGTATTAAACAAAAGTCAATGTGGATCAACAAATCAGATGTTAAAAAAGAAATACTTAATTTGTTGGCAGATAAAATGTGTACAACTCCTGGGGAACTACCTGCTCTGTCCCCCCTCCTGTCCTTTTCTGGGACAGGAGCTTTCTTTCTCTCAACAAATATATTCTGCTCATAAAAGAAATGTGTACAACTTTGAAGACAGAAGTGTAGATAAGGACTTTTTTGAACAGAACCTCAATGACACAAGAAATAATACTGAGAATGAATAAATGGCATCATGTCACATTAATGAATGGCTTGGAGTATAGTTTTCCATCCCTTCAGTCTGTATAAATCTTTATAGATGAGTTTTGTTTGTAATAAGCAACATACAATTCACTCTTGTTGTTTGGTACAAATAGGCCAATCTGTGTCTTTTAATTAGATAACTGAGAACATTTACATTAAGTATTATTATTGAAAGGTAAGTACTTATTCCTAGAGTTTGGTTGTTTTTCTAGTGTTTACTTCATTTCTCATTTTCTTTATTTATTCTCCCACTATGGTTTATTCCTTCCCTTGGTCCTATCCTTGTGACTGTCCTTTTCTGTGATTAGGATCTCTTTAAAGAACATTCTTGAGTGTTGGATCAATAGTTATGTATTTTGGTAGATTGTATTGATCTTGGGAGGTCTTTATCTCTCTTTTATTTTTAAAAGGCTAGCCTTGCAAGTATTATTACAGTAATCTGGTTGGCAAGCAATTTGTTTCAGGGCTTACAATAAGAAATCTCAGGCCAACCTGACCATTAGAACTTTTGTTGAGAAATCTTCTGTGATTCTGTATAGCTTTATAATTGTAGGCAAGTTGGTGTTTCTCACCACATTCAATATTCTTTGTTTGCCTTTAATGTTTGTCAATTTGGCTATGATATACACAGAGAAAATTTTTTCTGGTCATTTCTATTTAAGGGTCTAAATGGTTCCCATAAATACCTATTTGTCTGTCTCATTCCCTACATTTGGAAAACTGCCATATCAGTAAATCAGGGCTTCTTTAAACCTTAGTTTGTATTTTCTTGCCCTCCTTGACACAAATGCTAAGTTTTTCTTTCTGTTAGACTTGTCCAAAGGTTCTTAGATAATTTTTTATCAATTGTTCTTTTTTTGTGTTGCTATCAGAATGTTCTAGTATACTCACTATGTCTGTAAACCCTGCCATTTCTTTTTTCATTTAAGTGTTGCTAAAGCATTAACTGAATTTTTAACTTAACTACATGTTTTGTGCACATCCTGTATTTGTTTTTTTCTTGTTTTAGAAACTCTGTCTCTTCACTGAAATTTTCTTATGTAGCTTGTATTGTATTAATTCATCGATCTATAAATAGCTGTTTAAGTTCACTCATCATTTAACTGTTATTTTGTGCAGAAGAAAAAAAAATACTACTTTCAATCCCTAGCATTGCTTTGCAAGAAGAGAATAAATAGCAGTATTAGTAATTTATAAGATTTTCTTAAAAATTTGGCTTACAATGTTTTCTACTACTTAACTAACCTTGGAAAAAATAATAATGTAGACTGTGCTAGAAAAAAAGAAGATATATACTTTGATAGTATTTATATGCAATAAAAGAAGATGAGGGAGTGAAAATTTGAGAGGATATGAAAGGGAAGGAAAAAGATAAGGGCAGAGAACATAGATAGAAAATAAGAGGATATGTAGAGAGATTAGAACAAATTAATGAACTTTCAAAATCATAAAATTTTTAAAAACTTACCAACAAAAAAGCTGAGATCCTGCTGTATAAAAAGTTGAATTCTACAAGAAATTTATTGCAGATTTAACGCCAATTCTCAAACTCTTCAATGCAATTGAAAAGGAAACAATTCTCCTAAATCATTCCTGGAGGAAAGTATTACCCTGATACCAAAATCAGAGAAAGACCAAACCAAAATAGACAAATACAGACCAATCTCCATAATGAACATAGATACAAAAATCCTCAAGAAAACACTAGCAAAAAGAATTCAGCAAACATCAAGAAGATTATATATCACGAACAAGTGGGATTCATCCCAGGAATGCAGAGATAGTTAAGTATACACTAATTAATAATTGTAATACACTACATCAATAGAGCCAACGACAAAACCACATGATGATCTGAACAGATGCAGAAGAAGTTTTGATGAAGTTCAACATTCATTCATGGTAAAAAACAAAACTACATAAAATCCAAATAGATGGTCTTTACACCAATGTGATAAAAGCCATCTATGACAATCCAATAGCCAACATCATGCTAAATGGACAAAAACTCAAAGCCTTCACTTTAAAATCAGGAACAATACAAGGGTGCTCAGTGTCACCACTCCTGTTCAAAATAGTTTGAAAAACATTAGCCAAAGCAATTACACCAAAGACAGAGAAGGAATAAGGATTGGAGAGGAAGAAGTGAAATTATCATTATTTGCAGGTCATAAAATCCTCTACTGAGATGACACCAAAAACTCCTCCAAGAATCTTGTAGATTTAATAAGCAAATTCAGTAGCAAGATACAAAGTCAGCACTCAAAAATCAATAGCATTTCTGTATACAAACAACAAACACACTGAAATAGAAATCAGAAATATACCTTTCACAATAACATACCCCCCAAGGAAATGAAATAGTTAGGAATCAATTTAACAAAGGAAGTAAAAATCTATACAGTGAAAATGGCAATAATCTTAAAAAAAGATTTCAGAAAATGGAAAGATAATTCTTGCTCATCAATATGAAGAATCAACATTGCAAAAATTGGCATAGTCCCAAAACTGTTATACAAATTCACTGCACTCTTGATCAAAATACCATTAGCACACTTCACAGATCTAGAGAAAAAAATTCCTAAAATTTGTCTGAAACCAGAAGAGCCCTAGAATATGAAAAGCGATTTCAGGAAACAAAGGAAGGGCAGTAAATCACAATCCCTGGTTTAAAATTATACTACAAAGCTACTGTAATAAAATCAGCATGATACTTACAAAAAAGGAGACCTGAGAATCAATGAAGAATATTAGAAGATGCAGACACAACTACAAACACACTAAGCTACCTTATCATTGACTAAGTGCCCAAACACATTCATTGGAACAAAGATAGCCTCTTCAATCATTGGCGCTGGAAAAACTGGCTTTCCACATGTCGAAGGATAAAATTGGACCCATGTCTATTGCTATACTCTACACTACAGTCAAAATGGATCAAAGATTTAAATATTAAAACAAAAACACTAAATCCACTGGAAGAGAAAGTACATAGAAATCTTAAAGACATAGAGGTAAGCATAGAGTTCATCGACAAAAAACAAATTGTATGCGGAATACTTCAAAGCATCAGCAACTGATATCTCATCTTTTCTAGAAAGTTTCTGCATATCAAAGGAAATCACTAACAGAGTAAAAAGAAAATCCATGAATTAGGAAAAAATATAGCCAACTATCCCTCAGAAAAAGGACTTCTATCTAGAACATATAAAAAACTAAAAAGAATCAGCCCCCAAAAATTCAAGAACCCAATCAAAATGGCCATCTGCAATGAATATATGCTTCTTAAATGAAATATTAATGGAAAATAAATATATGAAATAATGTTCTATATCTTTGGTCATTTGAGAGATGCAAATTAAAGCAACACTGAGATACTATCTCACCCCACCAACAATGGCTATCATCAAGAAGTAAACCAATAACAAGTGCTGGAATAGCTGTGGGTAAAATGAATACTTCTGCATTTGATGGGAGTGTAGACTGGTACAACCACTATAGAAATGAGTGTGAAGTTTCCTCAAGAAACTAGGATTAGAGGTCTCATTTGACCCAGCTCTTCCCTTTATGAGTATTTTTCTAGAAGAAATGAAAACATCATTGCACAACAATATATGTGTACCAGTGTTTATAGCAGTGCAGTTTGTCATAGCTAAATCTTGGAAACAAGCCAAATGCCTCTCAACTGAGGAATGGATCAAAAATTGTGGTATTTTTATATAAGGTAGTATTACTCAAGTATAAGAAAGGACAAACACAAGACTTTTTTGGCAAATGAATGCAACTAAAGACCGTACTCATAAATGAACTAAATCAGACACAAGTGTATAAACATCATATTGTCTCCTTAGTGTAAGAACTTGCAAGAGTAAAGAATATCTGAAAGGTTCAATGGATAGTGTGAAAGGGAAAAAAACTGTTCAAAAAGAAGGAACAACTGGGATGTAGAAAGGAGAAAAAAATAAAGCAGGAAGGGAAGAAGAAATTGTGTGTGAGTGTGTGTGTGTGTGTGTGTGCACGTGCGCCCTAGTTTGAATTATTGTACTATTGATTTCTGCTTGTCTATAGAAAAGAACAGTTAATGCTTATTTTTTTCTACCTTTTTAATATTTATAATTTTTTGCCCAATCTTAAAGATGTGTATGGTAATATGAACAAGTAATTTGAGGACCACAATATGCAATATAACAACCATTGTTGAATTCCCATCATTTTATTTAGTGAAATTCTATATCATTTCTAGTGGGTTTTTTGTTTTGTTTTGTTTCACTATTTTTCTTGTATTTTATTTAAAAAAATAAAATGAAAATTAGAAGAAAGAAACTAGGGAAAAAATCCCAATATTAGAAAACTCTATAAGACAACCCTTGGTGTGGTACATGACAAAACAAGGTAATACAGAAAAGAAGCAAGAAAAGCAACACTTGTATGCATTTGCATGTATACATACTCCCCCAACATGCATAAAAAAGGAAAAAAGTATAGGTCCAGTATTCAACCTTACAGTAATATTTATACAGAAAGCAGTTGTTTCCTTCCAGCTTCTATTTTTGGTCACTGCCTGATAAAAGGAGGATAAGTGATAAAAATTTTCTTTAAGTCTAGATTTTGTCCAAGTAGGAGAAGGCATTTAGCTCAGTCTGGAGGCTGAGCTACTCAACCTCTTAGGTCCTTCAGTTGCCAGTAGCCTGAGTGGCCCACTCTTACAGCTCAGTCTCCACACTGAAAAAACCCAGACTGTCCACCAAGTCCCTGACTCACATAGGTCATGGGTAGGTGCAGAACATGGACCTAAAGTGGGTAAAATAACCAGTTTGCTCTGAGAGTGTGAGCACATCCTAACAGAGGGAGGGTGTGTTGAAGACTCAGGGCTTGTGTTTATACTAGAAGCCACAGTTGCCTAGCCTTTTGCTAGTCCCTGCAACAGCACTTCTCTACTCAGATGCCCCCACCCTCACTCCAAACATCACCTTGTTGATCTCTTTTCTTGACACAGTATTTAAACTGCTGTATCCTGTATTTTTTTTGTTTCCCTCCTCCTGGTTGATTTTGCTCACTGCTAGATTAGTTTTGTCTTGTTTGCTGTCCTCCAACTTTCTCAGCTTGGAGTTTGGTCCCCTCAAGCCATGCCCTGGGCATTTACTTTTGTCTTTCTGTATCACATTCACCCTTATCTGTACTCATGGTAATTATTAGGGTGGATACCTGCTGTCTTCCTGGAAGAATGAATAGAGGGAATTATTTAAAATGCTTTCTGGATCCAGTTTTGATGAAGTTTGAACATCATAACTTTGGGGCTATGGCTAAGGTGTACGTAGTCTTTCAGATCTAGACTGAGAAGCCGAGAATTGTCACTGTCATTTTACCTGAACTCATGTCTTCTTTCTGAATATTCTTTGTCCCTTTGCAGTAGCAAGGCCCACACTCACAAGAATATGCTAAACTTTTTTCTTTTATCATCAATCCTGAAGGGAATTCATCTTCCCTCACTGAACATCCATCAGTTCAGTGCCACAGTGGGTTACTTCTGTTTCTTTAATTAACTTTATAAATTCCAACATTTCTGGTTTTCATCTGGTATTCTACCTCACTAAGGTTTCAATTCAGCAATTTTATATGGCTTTCCTACTTCCTCATGGAGCCACATACCTTTTGATTTGGACAAATAACCTGTATCGATTTGTGACTTCAGGCTGCTTATGGCCTGCCATCCTCAAGAACCCTAAATAAAATTTCTATAATATCCTTAGATATGGTATTACTTTTATTGTTGTCAGTTGTTGTTTGCTTCATGGACATTATTTCTTCTTACAGGGTCCTCCTGGACTTCCTGGATTTCCAGGGACACCAGGTCTTCCTGTATGTATAATCTGGATTATTTATTTTAAAATTCCTTAACTACTAGGGATATAGTCTAGTACATTGCTTTACTAGCATGTGTAAGGCCCTTGGTTCCATCCCTAACACTTCAAATAAATAAGTAAATAAATAATACTCTTAAAAATAGCGTAAAATATGATACATATGTGTTATATTCTTCACAAAGGGAATGCCAGGCCATGATGGAGCCCCTGGTCCCCAAGGTATTCCTGGATGCAATGGAACCAAGGTGAGATTTCTTTCATCTAATATTAGTATTCTTGATAATTCATAGACTTAAAAATGTGAATAAATCACTACAATGAATGTTGAATCTAAGATTAGTAGCTTCATGTCTAGGACATAGGGCAAGTTTTGATGTACCATTTTCAATACTGTATATTATCCATAATTTCTTTAAGCATATTGCATGGGGTTAAAGATTACTTACAAATCTTTTTTTTTCTTGGTACAAGGTAGGATGAGAGTTCTAAAGGAAGTAAGTATATATCTTTCAAATAGTATGAGCTGTTAAGAGTATTTCATGGGGCCACATATGGTGGTGTGCATCTGGGAGGCAGAGGCAGGAGAATCAGAGTTCTAAATCAGCCCAAACAATTTAGTAGGACCCTATCTCAAAATAAAAAATGAGGCTTGGGTTTCAGTTCACTGTGAAGGCCCTGAGTTCTACCCAGTGCCACCAAAAAAAAAGCAATTTAGGGGAACATTACTTAGTTTTCTTTTTAAAGAAAAGTGAGGTACATCCTAAATTTTGAAATATTTCATGTTTTTTTAAACTTAGCAGAGCTTTTAGTATGAAACCTGAAATTCTCTTCCATCAGAAAACATAATGGATTTTGAAATTTGAAGAGAGAAACAAAACTTTATAGCAAATATTTTTCCCTGAACTACATTTTTGTATTAGTTAACTATTTTGCCTTTTTTTAAAAAAAATTAAGCTACAGATAACAAAGAAGCATGTGAACAATTTGCTGTTCTTCCAAATTTATGTATTGTGGCCTGAGTTCCTATCCAATCATGTTTCTCTTTGTCACTTAGCCTAATGCAGTGTATCATCATTTTCAGTATTTCCTGTTTGGCACATAACATTATGTGAAAATATCTCTAAAAAAAAACACCAGCTGTAGCATATGCCAGGTTTTATAATACGGCACATAATTAAACTGTTTTGTGTACAAAGGCTATATTTCTGGCAATATTGTAGTATGTTCTTGCAGGCAATATAATTCTCTTTGCTTCAGTTTTTTACCAGGCCATTGTGGGCCTTTACCAAAAATAATAATAGTTTATTTTAAACGTTTGCATTTGAGTCTTATTTATGTTTTTCATTTCACTTGGGGAAACCTGTAGTGAAGGACCTATGGGAATTAATTTGCATGAGAAATTTCATGTTAAAATGTTTTGTTTTGAGACAAGGCTTTGTGTGTAGTTCAGAGTTGTCTTGAATTCACTATGTAGCTCAGGCTGACCTCAAGGGAGATTATGTATTTGTGCCTTTTCTGTTTATTTGTTTATGTGGCTTTTTGTCAACATGCCTTAAGCAATAAATTTATCACTAAGGAAATTTTAAATTTTAAGCTCAAATATAACTACAATATATATAGAATGCTGTATGAATATCAGGTTTATTGTCTTTTTGTAAAACAACTACTTGGCAGAGCTAATAATTAAGTTTTGGCTTTTACCACCAATTTTCTGAACAACAGGCTTTAAAAATTAAATGAATTTATTACCTATAATGTCAGATTATTTTCTTATATTTCTCAATATGAAAGAAAATAATGAGCATTAAATTTGGAGTTATAATGTATGGGTTATTTTCTTCTTCCTTCTAAGTTTGATGTACAGTCTGTTTCCTTTCTGTATCTACTTTTTTCATGTGTAAAAACCTGGTAGAGCAAGGGATATAGACCACAGTAGAAGAGTATGCAGACTTAGTAATTTTATTCTTTTAAACTTTCTGGCATGATTTGTTTCTAGGATTACTATACCAAATAGTTGAAAGGAGGAGGCATGGGGGTTCTTCTGCAACAATTGTAGCTTTTGATTTCTAAACCAAATGTCCATATTAGTAAGTGAGAAGAATTGGATGTCTAGAAAACATAATGATCTGCAATTCCTAGAACTATTGCTGTTATTGTTCTCTTGGTGATATCGTTGTCCTTCTTTCTGACCATCTTTCCCTCTTTGCAAAAAATAATTTGAAATAGTTTGCAATAAAAGAAAAATATAATACTACTGCTAAAAGAAGAATTTATATAACACATAGGTAGAAAATTGGGGCAAATCATTAAATGTTAAATGTCATGATAGGAATCTGTTGTGATGGTCTCAAAGTGGATTTGTTAGGCGAAAATGACTAGGGTAGAAAATTTTTTCTTTATTTCTGATTAGAATGGGTGATTAGGGACAAAAATATCTTAGTATATTGAACTGATATGGGCACTTGATATTTGAAATAATTGGAAAGTGAAAAGTAGCATATTTTTGGCAGTCTGGTATGTTTCGAAATGGCGTTTACAGAAATCTCTTCAATAAGGCATTGTTTGTTGGTATGTTCTTTGTTTCTTATCCCTCTTTATTGTATCCTTTTTATTTTAACTTCTTTTAGGGAGAACGTGGATTTCCAGGCAGTCCAGGTTTCCCTGGTTTACAGGGTCCTCCGGTAAGTTGTAAAATTCATGATTATAATGAATAGAGGAATTAATGGAAGAAGTAGAAGTACAGAGACTGAGCTCAATGCATTTGTGTGAAATAAAACAGAATATTTTTAAATAATGAGCTACAAAAGATTAAAGCGCCTAAAAGCAGGCTCAGGGGCCAGGGGGTCGATCCCCGGGCCCGCTGTGCCGGTCCCGCCCACAGGGCGAGCTGAGATGGCAATTGAGACTGGGCATGGTGGTACGCCTGTAATCCTAGTTCTTTGGAGGCTGTAAACAGGCAGATCACTACGAGTCCGATCTAGTAGTGAGACCCTGAACACCCTGTAGAACCTTCCCCCAAATAAATAAATAATTAATGAGCTAAGCTACAGATTATTTTTATTAAATAAATTGTAAAGATAGCTCTGTGGTGGGCAAAACGAAGAATTCCATGTTTAATATAAATATTATCTCTAAGTGTCCTAAAACATATAATATTCAGAAGTGCTCTTACATTAATTTATTGTTTGCTTTGTTTTTAGAAAGTGTTATATGTTACTCTCAAATATATAAAATAATCCATTTCCTTTTTAATATTAGGGACCTCCTGGGATCCCAGGTATGAAGGTAAGCATCTCATGCTTAGAACATAAATATTTTGAATCATATATTTAGAAAGGCTGAATCTTTCATATAATAATGATTTAGTTTTCCTTTCAAAATGAGTGCTTCTAGATATTGTGAATATACACACTTAAAAGCACTCAATATGTAGTCTCCTCTGTTCCCATGATTTTAAGTACATTCTCAATGCTGATATGTTTGGGAATGTGTATATGAGACTCAGTTTTCTTTTCAGACCCCCTCCTTCATCTTCTTCCAGTTTGATACAGTTGATCATCTGTTCTCTCTAGAAGTATTATTTTCTGTGCCCTTCTCCTTTCCAGTGTCTCTGATTATTTTGTAGTCTTCTGTGAAAGCTCATTCTATACTGTTCGTCAAGCATCAAGACATAGTCCTGACCCTTTCTTCTCTATGCCAATAGTATTATTAATGACCATAATATTGACTACTACATAATTTCTGAACACCTACATTTATATCATAATATCAGACTTTTCTGAGTTACATGCGTGTGTTCAACAGTCCCCTTGATATCATCACACAAAATCTCACAGATATTCAAATTAATATCCACCTAAAGCAAAACTGTTCTTCCCTCTGGTACCTTCTATCTACAGTTTACATCACTATACATTATGTACACCTTAAACTCAATCTGAAGCATAGTGTTCATATTTTCATAGTTTCTCACATTCATTCCATACTACTGTGGAATACTATTAAGTTTGCCCGTTAAATGTATCTTAATCTCATTCACTTTTCTTTATCTCCGATGTCACCACATTAATCTTTATGTCTCATCTAAAGGACTGCAGTAAATTCTTAACTAGTCTTTACTTACTACTACCCCCCACATTCCACCTGATTAATTCTCAGTGAAGAATGATCATTATAAAATGTATATCAATAATTTAATCTCCCAGTTTATAAACCTTCAAAGTTCCCTCTGTGTGTCTAAAGTCATTATTCTTTTCCATGGCTTGTAAGACCTACATGTACTGATCCTTGCCTAATTTATAGCCTTATCTTGAACAACTTCTTTTCTTGTATTCCTGCTCTCGCTAGTCTGCAATCAATGGTCTGAATATGCCAATTCTTTTTTGGGACTCATTTCTACATACTCTGCCTGTCCTATTTGCCCACATCTTTACCTGGCTGGCACTTTATTGTCCATCAGGCCTCACCCTCAATATTACCTTCACAGATTGCCTTCCTTTGGCTACCTGTACTAAAGTAATTTTCTCCACCATATTTTTATTATTCACAGTACCATATTATTTTTCTTCATAGTACTTGACAATATATGGTAATATTTTTTACATGTTATGATCTGCATTCCCCCATTATATTGTTATCCACATGTAACAGAGATGTTACTTTCTTCATTACTGAATATCCAGATCCTCACACAATTTTTGACACTGTGTTAATATTTAAAAGTATTTCAATGCGTGATAAACAGAACATACTACAGGCCAGGGGTAGTGAATCTGTGGCACACAAACTGTTCTTATCTGTGAAAGGTCTACAGGCTTTTTTTTTTTTCTGGAATCGGGGATTGAACTCAGGCTGTTGCACTTGCCAGAGAAGCGCTTATTCCACTGAGCTATCTCCCCAGCCCCTGCCTATAGGCTTTTGATAAATGTACTGAACTTAAGTACCCTCTGGCTTCTTTCTCATTTTCCTTGAAAAGGTGAAGTTATTCATTAAACTACTGAGCTGCTTTAAAATTTCACTAGACTTATGTGACAAATTGAACTATCAGATAACTATTTTTTTCTCTTACCAATTTTCATATTTAATAGCTTATGATATCTATTTGTGTGTGTGTGTGTGTGTGTGTGTTTAGGGAGAACCAGGTAGTATAATTGTGTCATCATTGCCAGGACCAAAGGGTAACCCAGGACATCCAGGTCCTCCTGGAATACAGGTAAGCATTCAGAGATTTTGTTCTTTGCTATATGATTGAATACAATCACAGCAACTCCTCAAAACTTAGTACCCTCTGTTTTAGTCATAGAAATCATATCCACATTGCATGTACCTTCCATCTATAAATAAAAGCATCTTGGTTCAGAGACAGTTTGAATAAACTTGGTGTGTTCTTTTATCTTTCTGACCAGTTTTCACAGAAACTTTTGTGTTTCGCAAATATTCATCAACTTATGAAAGCCATTGATAAATTATGTAATATCTATACTGTGCAGTATTTCTAACATTAAAAAAATTACCTCTTGATACATATTTAAACCTGAACTAGTACAAAATATTAAATTAAAGAAATTATACAACAAAGATTTCAATATGTATGCTGAGTTTTATATGAAGGCCTAGAAATTGCAAAACTATAATTATAGAAAGTGTGCTAGTATGTTCCACTATCCAGAGGACTTGTAACTACCTCCAAAGAATCATGGTTCAATTTTTTCAAATGTAAAATAAATAAATAAATAACATAAAATAAAATAAATGAGCACGTGTAAACTCAATAAAGCACTGAAGAATTAAAACTGTACAATTTTTAATCCACCTGTTTTTCTCATCTGTCACATTCTTCAGCATCTCCACAAAATACATCTATCATCTTGAGTTTTCCATTTATTTTTAAAAATAGCTTCTTGTATGTACTCATGTTTCTAAGCAACAAAGTACTTAATTTTGCTTTATAAAATAATATAATATTTATATAATTTTCTGCAACTTACTTTTCTTTTTAGTATAAGATCCATCCATATTATTGTATGTAGTTATAGTTTCATCATTTTTACTTCTGTATAGCTTTCTATTTGTAAGTGTATTAAAATTTGTTTTATTATAAAATATTCTATGGACTCAGGAGATAGCTCAGTGATCTAAGCACCTGCTTAGGTCCTGAGTTTGATCTCCGGTACTGTATGTCATGCCAGCCTCGGTTCCTGGATGCATTGTGGTGGCCCTGAACCTGGGCATGGTGGTACATGCCTGTGATCCCAGTGTTGAAGAGGGTGAGACAGGAGGATCACTATGAGTCCACCCTGCATAGTAAGACCCTATACCAAAAGAATAAAAATTTAAAAAATAAAGTATTCTAGGATTTATGTATAGGTATAGAATTGCAAGTTCACAGGGCAGGCACATTGTCATTTTGCAAAGATGCCAAATTGTATTCTATAATACTTGTATTATTCTCTTATCACTTACCTCATATTCTCAGATCTTTTTCTTCAATCTTACTTTAAAATTAGAGAGGCTTCCTTGAAGGAAATTGCCTTTTCCTTCCAATTCCTATATTAATATTTGAATGAAGACTTACTAATATTTGTCTACCTTTATTGCTTTGTTTTATAGAATTTTCTTACATGTTTGTCCTACATTTTTCTATCATTGTAAAGCATAAGCTTTCTGAAAGCTGTATTTATTCTATTTAATTGAAATCCTTTATAATTATTTAGTCTTTTGATTTGTACACATTTAAAAAGTCTACTTATAACACTTACTGAAGAATTACAGAATTGAAAAACAGAATTGTGGTGATTGCTATAGTGAATTATTTTGCTGAATTCAAGCACCTACAATCTTTTGACTGGCATCAAGTGTGAAAAGGTCCTTTAAAACTTCTCCAAATACAGCTTCACTAACAGAAATAGAACACCCATCTCTGACAAAACAAAACAAGAAAGGGAGATATAAATAAAGGACCGTTTCATAGTCAAAAAACAATATATATGTATATATATGTA